TGTTTCGAGCACGCAACCCAATTTGTCTGCGTCTCATTGTTTTACTCCGCGATCGTTGCTTCGCCCAGCGCCTAGTCCGTCTGACTGGGAAATGTCGAGGGGATCGTGCCACCAACTATTACGGCCCTCGAATCATCGAGTGCTGCCCTCTTAGACCCTTTTCTACCCTCGAAAATTCATTTTCACCTTCGGCTGTCCATTGTTTCTCGAGAGCAATAATGATGTTTTACATTGGTGATTCTTGTTAAGTATAATGTAAAAAATAATATCTAAATACCATTAAGTTTTATTGAAGTCTATATTTCATTAACATTTTACATGTTAAAATTTGATGTATATTGCATAAACATCTGCAGTCTAATAGTCAGTTAAAAGTCAACATAAACTCCAACAGATCCACTTGTTGTAAACTAACTAACAAGTAACTTTGAATAGCAAACGCGAAAATTGCACAATTTATAGTAATCCAAATATCACGACGTGATTAATTGCAGAAATTTTTAATGAAACGAAACGTAATCGATGGCGCAAGATTATGTATGAAACATGACGGTGTTTTCTGTGTCTACGTAACAAGTTCCTCCCATGAATTTCTATTGTACCACCATCGGTCATAAAATATGGCTACCTACGAAAATTTGTCCAGATTGGAAAACATCGTCGTCCACGAATGACAGGTAGAATTTATTGCATATTGTTGCGGTGCAGAGGGTTTTATTGCTACCAGTGTTGGGTCTAATTGCTTTACCAGGTGGCCAGGTGAGGAATCATCCGCCCCTCTCTCTCTCCCTCTTTCTAGCCCTCTCTTTCCCACTTTCCATTCACTGTCGTTCCGTCTTCCACCGCCAAGGATCTGAAAACTAACCCTCGGGGGAAGATAAACGTCGACGTGTCGGCCAAACGAAAATCTGATGTCGGCCAATTGAAAACGATCGGATTAACTGGTGGAAGAGACGGTTGTTCGTTCAAACAGTGGATTAACTCGACGTCCAGGGCCCCGGGGGTTATCTTTAAACGCCATAACGACGGTCTTAAATGCGGCGTTTAACGGCTCCCCCTCCAACCCCCTGTTCGAGTTAATCAGTCTGGCACGATGCTGCCGCGAGATTATCGGGTATTAACGTCTCGAATCTAATCCGCGAATCGTCCTTTCGCTTGTTGGGGACTCACTGGTATTTAAGAACGCGTTGATTTAATAAAACCGCTGATCCTCGGATAAACTGATCAATTATGTAACGGGTATTAAGCAGGGCGTCTACTTTAATCCACAAATGGAACGTGTTATCGTTTCGAGCATCAAAATTGTGTAATTTAGTTCAACCAAATCTTTTGGAAACTTGTTCGTCTATTCGAGAAACCCAACTTCCAAAGTATGAAGTTTTCAATTTGTTTAAAAAAGAATTGTATATATTCAGTTCTCTATTGATACTCAATGTTCAAAAGGGACCAGAACCTGGGGACGGTTGTTCGAATCGAGTTTACGGACACGCTTGCGCGTATATACCACTCTCTCGGGGCCTCGAATGGCCACTTGATCGCGGGTTCCGTGTTCACTTTGGGGGAGGATTCAGGTGGTTGAGGGTGAAACGTGCCGCGATGAATGGAAGTTCATCCATTTACGAGATATTTCGACTATTCCCCCTCCTCCACACCCCCATTACCATCACAATATCGGTACCTGTCGGTCAAACACCTGAGGCACTCCTTAGGCCGAGTCCTTATTTATTGCCAGTACGTGCCGGCGCAAGATTTCCCTGCGAAATTTTCTTGTCCTTTTTGGACGAGTAGTACACAGGGGCACTCGTACAGTCGATGGGCACGGTTACAACCTAGGATCGTCAATGGGGACACGGTTCGCGTTTATACGCTGAATCTGAATTTTCAATGAGCTTCGAGTGCCCACTAGACTTCGGGCTATCGAAACGGTTGGACCCTCGAGTGGCGGCTCGAGTGGCTTGTTACACCGGGGATTGTAAAAAATTTGTAAGTACCGTTGTTGCATGGACGATCCACACGAACCACCGTTCGTTGCGTTTATTAATGATCGACACAATCGAAATTTCGATACAAACGTTGTATTTCCCAAAACCTAAACAAATCATAAGGAAATGGAATGAACTTTTTTAAAGAACTGATAATAGGCTTTCGTAATTAAGGTTTTAAGGTAACTATACAATTTTTCTCAGAATATAATGTAGATTAGTTTTCGAACAAGAATCAAAAACCCTCGGGGGGTGTAGGTGAAATTTGGACCCCTTTACCCTACTCAGAGTTGAGTCGAAGATCGAGAACCACATCGTTCAACAATTATTAATGAAAAGTTCCTTTTTACCGAAAACATCATCTTACCTATGAAATGACACGTAGTATTGGGGGTCGCTAAAAAAGTTCAGAACTATAGTTTCAATGAAATTGGAGCGATCTCGGGATCGATTACGGTTCGAGCAACCAGGTAGAAACAGGGACTAGCGACCATACAGCGTTTACGATTAATCCGAAATTTATGGTGGAAACCAACAGGTGTGTTGGTACTTCGGCCCTTTCGGTTCTCGCGTGTGTCCGGCACCATGTAACAAGGCGTACCACTCTATACCGAAGGATTCGCCTAACCGATATGCGTGACTGCTCTTAAACGTTCGCTTCCGGTTTCCGTTGCTATCCGTCCAATCGAGATATGCTAATCGTTGTTCCAGCATTCACGCCGTCGCGGCGATCATTGATTTTTCTTCTGTGAACGATTTAACTTCTTTCGAGAATGAAGAACCGCACATGAGATCTTTCGACGTCGTTCCGCAAATGGATCTCCTTCCATGGGGATTAGATAACGGGACGGAAACGAAAGAAATGCGTTTTCTATCGTCGATTCTGCTACTTTTAATTTCTTCGACGATTAATCTTCTTCGATTACCAACAAGACTGGTAGACAATGGCGAGTCTTTCGTCTCGTTATCGTCGATTCGAAGGAAAAATCGGTATCTCTGCGAGAACTTCAGATACAATGGAGTGTAATTCGAAAACTTAGACTTAATTTATCATGTTGATCGTTAAGATATTTATTATTACACCCAGTAATTATAATTTAGCGACACCATAGTGGACACGAAGTATGAAGATAAACATGAATAAAATATGGATCAATGACTCGTGTTATCGATCTTACACAATCAAATGCTTGATATAATTTTTCGAAGAATAATAGAAAATACAGCGAAACGATAATGTGTAAATATTCCACAGTAAATCGAATGTACTCGTTACTGTTTCAAGATTAATGGAAGTGTCTTGTATATTCCGGTTCATCGAGATCTCATCCTCGATAAGAACGAAATCTCGTACGATCTCGACTCTGGATCCACACGCGACCTAGATCCTCCCGCTACCGTTCGATGCAGGTCGATCGATACGTCCACAACGGACGGTATCCATTTTTGTTTCCCCTCCATTGTCCGTCTCGTGTGATCAACGATTAGATACACGTGATAATATAGAAATAAATATTTCGTCGTGTCTCTTGCGACAAGCTTTCCCTCGATCGACATCGTTTCGGAATAAAATTCTATTTGGTCTTTCGACAAATCGTGTTTCCTTATACATAGGTATTTACACTTCTTGTTAGGTCAACACACTCGCAATAATCGTACTTAAGAAAAAAAAATCTTTAGTAATAAAAATATACTTGAAACAATTAGAGGATCAATTACGTAAATAAATTATCATCTGACAATGTACCGAATATTGATATCTCTTGAAATCTTTGCTCCATTCTCTTCATATTTAACCCTACGCGAGCAAAAATTATTTTTCCACAACCCAGAGGCAAACTAGATGTCGTCTATGTCCAAGCCTGATTTCTTTAAAGAAACAGTAAATACTGTTCCAGGGTTGCAAAGAATCTGAACAAATTCTGGGATACTTATCAAAGTCTCTACTAAATAACCCAAACATTCGTTACGAGAAATGGTTGAAACTTTTTCAATAAAAATTCGAGGGAAGGTCCAAGAAAAATGAGATACCACTTGGGTCGTCCACAACTCACATTGCACAGGAAGATTTAACCCTTCAACGTCCAAACACATCATTCAGAAGAAAAATTATTCCCCGTGATTAGTTAACTGAAAAATGTTCCCAATACGTGCACCTCGTCTATACTTTTACAAGCCCTGGAAATATGATTTTCTAGATCCGTGTACATCACACTGGGCGTTAAAGGGTTAAAAAGCATCTATCAACCATTGTGTTAGAAAATTTCAAAGTGTCTAAGATCGCCTTGCCAAACCAAACACACACACACACACACACACAGGGTTAAACATTCCCGTCTCGCGAAAGGAAATACCCGTGTCAAGGGATCCAGCTACTCGAGCGTCCGGAAAGAAGTCATTCGAGGGCCAGAGTCCTCGAGCGTGGATCCAAGCTACAAGAATACACTTTCTATGACCTTAGCGTTCCCGAAATGGATGGGAAGGGGGGAGGCATATAGAATGGACCAGGACCGATGAATGGAGTTAGGTGCCGCGCCTTGTGAACCCCCGAATAACTTCTTAAATGTTTCTTAACACGACGCCGGTGGCTGGCACCCTTAACGAGCCGTGCTGGGGGGGGGGGGGATAGAAAAGCTCCTCTGAAAGGAGGACTTCCCCGAAACCCACCCGTCGTTCCACCTACTACGAGACGTACTACGTTCATTCATGGCTACGACCATGGTGCTCCATTGTCGGCCAGTTCATGAATGAACGTAAAACTCCATTTTCGCCGGCGGCCATCTTCCCCCGACCGTTTTTCTCCCTACCGTGATCGGCGTGAAGCGATATTCAAACGGTGTATATCGGGAGTATTGCTTCTCGAGGGCTGCCAGAGTGACTGTGCTGCAGCTTGGTATACACGGTGGAACAAGAATTTCAAATCACTCGTATGTATTTATTCTCTATTATTATTCTCTATTGTTATTCTAGCGTATGTTCGTTGACATTGTTTCCATTGTGTCGAATAGAGAGTCTTACCTGTAGTCGTCCTCCACGTAGTCCGGTGGAAACAGATGCCAGGTCGCGTCGTAGCACTCGTCGTATCCGTTTGCCATTTTCCTCCCGCGCGTTTTCCCTGGTTCGAAGCTCGTCGATTCGAAAGAAAATTCCGTCACTTTTCGGCCTGTCTGCTCCCGGTCAAATTCGAAAACGGCTGATCTTTGGCGAGGAGTTCATTCGAAAGAATATTCTTCAAACGATTTTCGTAAAATACCAGCCGAATCTTTCTTCAGTCACGGTTTCGAATACCAGCGAACATGATGGTATTACAGAAATCGGTCGAGTTCTTTCGATATTTCTTGATTTAGCGTTTGTGTCGAATTTTTTTTAGTAATGATTTGTAGATAGAACGTTTAAAGACGAAACTGATTCTTTTCTCGGTACACCAAAACCGAAATTCCCCGAGGAGGAACACACGGAACACGGAGAACGATGGATCCAAAACGTGTACCGAGATTTTTTTCTTTCAGACCGTCCAATCCGTAACAGGTGTTCTCACTTACTGAGAACTATGCGTGGATATATCGATCACCTATATATTGTATCAAAAATATGGCTACCAGATAGGAGCTCCGGCAACGTTATCTGTTTGATAACACCCTATATAGATTAGTTTGACTACTGTAACGTCAGAGACACCCGAATGATATCGGTTTATCCGATGTTCCGATACGGTCGGAGAATATATTTGTAATTAAAAAAACGATTGTTTAAGTCGACCACTTAACTCAATAATTAAGTATATATTTATGTAAAATATAGGAAAGAAAAAGCTTGTTACAAGAGTTTTACTATATTTTTAACGTAATACAGTAAAGGCTCCATAAGACGTTCCACGGCCTCCCTTCCAGTGGTGGGGATGAAGTAGAAACTCTCACGAGGAACTTCCTGTCCAACTCTGACGGAGCCTTTACTGTATATCCTTTGATTGGAGAAGTAACTCTTTCTTCGATTCTTGATTTTCGTAGGATAGTTGGTAAAGATGTACAGTAATCTATAGTAATTTATTTATATACGATATATTTGAGATATATTAGAAATATATTTACAGTATTTTCAATTCAGTGACGGTAATGGAAGAAACGGGATTAGTGCTGTACAAAGAATAAATGAAAAATGGTAATAGAAAAGTGTAAATACAGCGAACGTAGAAATAATAAATCGGTGTATCTATCAGGTGTGACGATTTCACGATATCTCGAGCCAATGGCGACGATCTATGTTACTGTTTCTATGCTAGTCAGCCACCGAGGAGATCACGATAGATACGCACGTGTAAGCGCAATCTCTTCTGTCATTAGAATTTCGTAACACGTTTAGTAAACTTCTTTTCGTGTTGGAAGAATCTGTCATTCATCACTATGAAAAATAAATTAACATACTAGCTTCAATGCAAAGTAAACTGAACTAGAAAAACTTTTATGCTGAAAGAATTCCATCGCAACGGTTTCGTAGAAAGAATTTGTTACTAATTTTTAAGAAACGAAAATTAAATTGTTCGTTCAATCGAGAGGAATTGAACTCAATGTTGTTGATGTCTTTCGGTAAGCATCTCGGCGGAGATTAGGATACTGTGAGAGTTCTTTAGATGTCAAGGGTGTGAAAGAGTTCACCGCAGATAACCAACTAATTGTTACTACTCGACACCGATCGGTTGTACCTTATAATTTATTAATGACAAGAGACCCTCGAGGTGAAGTATCCAGGCTTAGCCGACAAGTGCTACCGAACAGAATCTGCTACGAGTGCACTGATAAAGCGAAACATTTCCTTCCGTATCTGTATTTATATATGCAACGATCCCCGATAAGCAGTGGTAGATTTTGCAGGCTGACTGCATCTGCAAGGTTGTCCAGAAAATTGACTGGGCAGAAGCACGCTAGAGACAAGAAAGCGAGTTTCTTAAGAATTCTTGAATGAAATTTCGAATAACAACGTTGAGAAAAGATGTCTAACACACAGGATGATCCTTCATCTACTAGATATATTAGAAGAACAGATTAGAAACAGGAAAATTAGATGAAGTAGATACTATTGTACAATATCTATCAATGAATCGAGTTATTCTAATGCCAGTGGATTCTAAATTTCTATTGTAATGACAAGTGATAATATAATCCTCTGTCACAGGGGATTTATTAAAAAGACAGATTCATCATGGTTTAGATATAGTTTGAAAACATTTCGAACATTATATCTATTAACCAAGAATAACGTTAAAACCCTTAATAAACAAGGTTGTTTTTTTTCCTTGTGAAGAAGACAGTGCAGATAGCAGCACAGGTAATGGTTCCTATTCGAAGCTTCTAAATTCAAATAGATCTTCAATTGTTTAGATCCTCGGAAAATAATCTTTGAATATTATTCGTAGATCTGACATTGCATAGTTCTTCCTTTATTTTTACTACCGTAATGACTAAATCATTTTGAATGTTTCGTATGACAGGTGTTGTTGCTTTTTCTCGTAGAAAAAATAAGATTCTTAATGGCCCACAAACACGGACCCGATGGTGCGTGTACGTTCGATTTTCTAGGGCAGTGTAACGAACTTATCTGTCCATCAAGCACATGTACGGCATATGGACAGTAATCTCGACGTTATCGTGTGTCAAGATAAAAGCTATTTTTTTCGCGAAAACGAACACGCGGCGTATCGTTATTATTAAATATATCATTGAACAACATAAGAACGCGCGATGACTCCTTACATTGTCGCGTACACCGGTGAATGAATTTTTCCATATTGGAGGAACTGACATGAAGATTGTAACAACATCGCGATAAATTGCGTAATTTTCGGTAGATTGCAATATACAGGGTGTCGCAAGACGAACGATCAGTATTATAAATCATACGATTCCTCGATTAAAATTCACGTATGTATATACTGACCTACGAAGTTATCGGAATCAGTTTAAACAAAAAAAAGATAGTACTAACACTCTACTAATTTTTAGTCACATATTGACATCGAACGATACGAAAGAAAAGTCTCAGTTCCCAGACAAAACAACCACTCGATGTGTTCTTCGGACCGAGGATCATCGCCGATTTAATTCTACGATTATGTAATCGTAGAATCCGGCGGACGATTTCGTGATGCAATCAAGTATTCGATTAAATAATTTATTAACAAAAAAAAAGTTAATCGTACATCCATTGGGGATAACAAAATACGGTTCGGCCTCGGACGCGCGAATGCGATAAAACGTGTAAACGCTGTATAATGTCCATTCCCTTCGATCATACGCAGAAGAGAATTCGTATGAATGTTCGCGCTTGTAACGATGAAACGGAATGGAGCAAAATAATTAACGGGAGGGGGTAATGATCGATGTTGATGATGAAGGTGACGAGAATAATCTTCAAATGATTTCGCGTTTCGACATTGTAATCGAACGGCTCGATCGTGCATGTAAACGTAATTATCGTTGTACAGATTACTATCGACGAACTCTTGAACTGTGCGTAGTCATTCGGACTAAACTGTTCGTTAAATCTGAGATGACAACTATAATCTAGAGAGGTTCAGTTTTCGACTGCATAAACGCAAATGGAATTATTATTAATTTTCTACATAAAAATTCTCGGTTCTCTATCGCGACGATCTCAGGCGATTCGAAATACAGACTCCTCTCGATTATTGTCCCGAAAGCAGGTCCGCGCTGGGACAATAATTTCTGTCAGACTAATCTACAATAACCTTAGCTCTATCGCAATATAGTCTGCTACAAATAGATTTCAACTTGTATTAACAGTGTAGCACTGACAACTGAATGTAAAGACCAGCTGAGACATTTTTCCATCCCCCTTGTTCGACGAAGAAACGATCGAGACACCGTGTAGAATCAAACTAAAAAAGAATCTTGTTCATTTCGAAGGGTCGTGTTACTTTCCTCGATTACAGATCCCTCGAACTCGCCAAAAATCGCGATCGATAGCAGTCTGATAACGGAACGATCGGTATCTGTATCGGCGCAGCCGGCCACGATCACGCAACGTTCGATCTTGACCGTTCGATTACAACACCGCAACCTTACCGATAACGTGGTTCCATGCGCGCGCGTTTATCCAGATGAAGTATCGTATCGTAAATGATAAATTAGCCCCGACGATCGTGTGTCGAACACGATTCAGAGGGTTGTTTTTTCACCCCCTGAGTTCCCTACTTAACATAGAGAACTACATCTCTCTCATTTCTCTCTCTATTTTTCTCTCTCTTTTTTTCTCTCTCTCTCACTCACACTTTCATTTTCTGATATATTCTTCGTTTATTTCGCATCTTTTCGGCCGAATTTCTTGCGTGGACTGGTTTTCTTCTCTTGAGGGTGCGGCACGTTCTCTTTTGGGTTCGAGCCTCGCGGATGCGACGATGCGTTCGGTTTCTGATTCGGTTTCTCGTTCCTTTTCTCGGCGACCACGCCGTTTGTGACCTCTTGCCTCGGTGTCGCTGCTTAATAATAGTTAATTACACGAAACAATAGTTAATATACACGAAATAATAATTAATAATAATTAAAAACACTTCTGTTAGTTCGTTCCGATTCGACGACACGTTTGTCGCGGAATGTTAGTGACACTCGTAAAATTTCGCGTGAGTTAAACCGTTTTTTTTTTAATAAATCTGTGAATTAATTTTTTTGTATACTGATATGAGTTGACAGTTGTTTTAAGAATGTAATACGTAAAGAAGCAACGTGTGATTTTCGAATTGTTTAAAATTCAAATACCTGGAAGCCTGGACGACAAAGTGGTTTTCGCTTCTTTATTGATGAAATCGTTCGAAATACGCATGCAAGCCTGCAGTTCCGGCTCTGCAAAGGACAGAAACATTTAGTGTCTTGATTAAATTTGATTGCTGTTTAAAGAGTCTAATGATAATAATATTGATATTATAGATGACGATCTCGGCGAAGTCAAAACGGCAGAACAAATTCCACTTAACTTTGTAACACCGACTTTCTCGATACACACTGAGAAACTTATTTGTATAATTTAGTTCAAGCCCAGACTGCAGATTTTATGCGCTTACAAAACGATCGAATCGATCCGTAACAATACGAATTCGCATAAAAATCCACAGTCTAGTTACAACCTCGTACAGCCATCTTCATAGCTAGAAATCATCTCATTTCTCTTCGTCTTCGGTATAAAACTAGATCGGGACAAGGCGATCGAGAGATTAAACCAATTGGGCCGAAAAATCTTCTTTATTCGATCGCTCCTCGTTATACTTTTATCTTAAAAGGTATCTTATAATATGTCAAAATCGACCAGGAGCTAGAAGTGTGTAATACTCATGTCTCAAAGAATACATCGTTCGTGTAAAAGAGTATTGAGCCTTGTTCACGGTCGGTGTAGATCAGAGTTGGGCACGATTTTATTCGAATAATACATAGTAAAAAGCAGCAGTATCTAACCAGCGTTATCCTTTACCTTTAAACATTTAATGAGATCAATTAATTGTTTGCCATGTGTGCACAGGTTCAAGAAGAACATACTATTTTATTATGAAAATTGGAATTTCCACCTGTAATCAATGAAATATGACGAAGTACTGTTCTCATCTTTTATTCGTTATTCGAAACTCTTCTATCTAGATTCTAGATTATCAAATTTGCCCATCTCTGTGTAAAACGATCTGCAACTCCGTATCAATTCGATGATGTCACTTTGTTAGGTGAATCAACATGGAGAGCACATATTTATATACCTCCGTCTCAGCTGGACGAGTGGACCACCGGCTCGACGGGGACCGTTTCCACCGGTGAACCACTTCTCCAGCTGGGAGGCGAATAAAATGGCGCCTCCTCGTCGTCGTCGCATTCCCTTGCCGACAAGTAGACGGACTCACCCGGACTGTCGACACGCGCCACCCTGTTGGTCGTTTCCTCCTTGGTTTCCTTGTCGTTCGTTTTCTGAAATTGTTCAACAAAAGCTATTATTCCGATCAAAGCTAATCTGGATAATTCGAAACAACTCGTCGATTCGTTTTTTTATGAAGTTTATCATAAAAATGAAATTGTAACGGAAACTCAAAAATTTCATTCGATGAAATTGTAATGAAATAAGATTATCGTCTTTACCGTATCGAGGGGAAGCTGGTTAGACCTTAGTTTGTGATTTTTCAGTATCTCCTCGGCCTCTTTCTGAACATCCTCCAATTCGGACAGGGTCACATTATGCTCCGCTTCGTTTTCGCTGCTCGTGTTCGATTCCGTGCTGCAGTCGGGGGGCTGGAAAAAATGTGACGGATTATGGGATCGTACGATCAGGTTCGATAATTCGGAATCACTTGTTACTTTGTTCTTCTCCAAAAACATTTAAATTTCGTCAAAAAATATTTCTCGTATGATCACAGATAGAGAAGTTATTTAGGTGGCCTGTTTTAATCGGGACACCCTGTATAATAGTTTCTTCTAGTCCAGTATAGATGGTATGGCACAAACTTGAACGTATCGCTTAAACATTTTAAGTTAAAACAAAACATTAACGGTGCTTTCAAATGGCAACGAATGAAAAACTGTACTCGACGGTTTAAAAAATTTGTAAATGTTCTTGTGAAAAGATACGAGAAAATATTTCTTTGGTAATCCTTGAATAATTTGGGAGATACAAGGGTTAAAACTCACATTGAAATCGGGATCATCTGTACTGTCATCGTTGGCAAGTCTGTCGATCATCGATTGTAGAGTCTCGTTCTTTGACTCGTCGGTGGCGTCATCGGTGCTCTCGTCGGCCGAGCTAACTTGCGAGATCTTCCGTTTCGGTTCAATGGGCGTCGGACTTCCGGCGGATTCTGTGGTCGACTTTTCGTCCGGTGTTGCTGCCTATAACAGTCGAATTATTAAGAATTTCTTCTTCAATCTACAGACTCCTCTCGATTATCGTCCCGAACTAGGGTCCGTGCCGGGACAATAATCTTATAGGAAGAAATGTTTTAAATCCTCGTGATTTCGTTTTTTGCCAAAAGCTTGAGCCTCGAAAACAAAAACAGAGGGGCAATGAAGTATGCACTTTGGCAGGTTCCACGCCCTCCCTCCCCAGTCGTGGAGATAACGCCCGGACAATAATCGTGTAGGTCAAGCCAGACGATAATCGAAAGGAGTCTGTATCTTACATTCCATTTTAAATTATAAATTTACATCTTCTACTATGAAATCCGCAACATAAGCAATTCGCCACAACAATAAGTCTATTTGATTCTAGTACTTTTTAACAGAACATGCATCGACAAAACGAATATACGGACTCATTTCACTTACCGTTTCGAGATCCATGCCGGTTATACGAATTTTCGTCGCCGGAGGCGACGGTGAACACCTGTTAGACGAGTCAAAGCAAGACAATGTCGACAGAGTCAACCTGATGGATCTGATCAGGGCCTTCCTGGCCTCGATCATCATCAACCTCCTGTTCTACATCCATCACCGAGACTATTATCGTGCTAAGTTTAATCAACCGTCTGAGGATTTACCGAATTTTTGGGGGATTAAGAAAAAAGAAAGGGTAGAGAATCTACTGGGGATTCTTTCGAACATGACCACACAAACAGAGATCCTAGATCTGACTAAACGTACGCTAGATTCGATGGTAATCGAGGACTAGAAACAGGTACGTATACAATAGGAAACAATCGCGATTGAGAATTGTTAATATACCTTGCCGAGCATTTTGCGCCTCGTTGATTTCATTGCCTTCGAGTTTAACGCCCTCAATCGCCTGCGACTCTTCTGCATGAATTTTACCTGAAAATTCGACACACGAATCGAATGAAAACGACGACCATAGAAATGATTATTATGGATCGTCATCTTTATGTATTATTACATGACTGATTTCATTTTCTATATTCAAGAAGTATTCATAACAAATTACGTGCCATTCCACTTGGTTCTATTCGAGGGTAGCCCAAAAGGAAAGCTCCCACGTTCAATCCGCCCCTGATAATTCGCAAGATGACCAGGCTTGGGAGAAAGAGGATCCAAGGCAAAGGTCTCACTAGCTCAATTTTCCCGAATATTTTTCCATTTTCCTCTGTTTTCCAACCAATAATATAAATTATCCATAAAATATATTATTATACCACGAATTTTTCAAGTAACATTGAAATATCCGATCAATCCAAAGATTATGTTATAGAAACAATGATTCCATTCATTTGTTAATTACCTGCGCTTAGTTCGTGGGTTGGCACGCTCCATCGCGCGGACTTCTCGACGACCCACAGAAATGATTCGACCAGTTTGAATAACGACTGACCCACAGACGTCTGCGAAGCGGTGACGATCATCGATTCGATCCATCCAACCGTACCGTCCGGTGTACTGGACGCCACCTAATGGTTCGAATTAAATTAAAAACCGTAAAAAATGTACGAGTGTGTTCACTTGATTTATTTAAACAACAATGTTCACACTCACGACAGACGAGGATCCTTCATTCTCCATGTTTAAAATCGATCCTAGAAACGAAATGGATATGATCGTAAGTCGATAGGTAGGGTTAACAATATTTAAAAAATTTTCATTATTCTCAGCGATTCGAACGAAATATTTTCGCTAACATTTATAGCAAATGGGTATAACAAATTGTTTCTTTTTTTTTTATTTTGCCACAATTGACCAATGCATGAAAACCAGTTGGTAAAATCGAGCCCTCGTAAATCTTCGCTCCTACACGGTATTGTATAGATAAACGCTCTATTTTTATACTTAACATCCCCCTTCATTATTCATCGACATTACGATTTCCCCCAATTAGAGAAACATACTTAAATCCAACTCTTCGACACTGACTTCACGATAATAAAATTATCATTTTCCAGAACTACTGGTAATTTTTGTTACAATTGAGGCGTAAAAATACGTCATAACTTAGGACTATCTAATTTAGTAAATGTTATATAAACTAGAATAATCGTTTGAAAATCAGTTTGGACAAATAAATCAGGCTGTTTTTAGAGCCCTAAAAAACACGCAGGACATTCTAGCTTGAACCAAAAAGTGAAAAGCATACGGAGCTCCAAATATTTCGAAAACTCTGGAAAAACGATCATTTGTTAGACTGGACATTTTAAGTAAGGAGGGCAGTATAGACTGACCTATGACACGAATCTACTAACATTTTCGACTTTGTTCGGCCCGGAATGGCGGACAGTTCGTTGACGGGTTCACGTGAATAAAAATTTCTTCTCCATTAAGCCGTGGGTGAATCAGTCGAATAAATAAACAATAAGAAATGCAGTCGCGGTGATAATCCGCTATCGAGAAGGCATGACCTCGTCCTATCACTCGGAACGCAGAAACTCCCATAATGAAGTGTGAGTCCACGCTGTGAAAACGCGTCATTCGGTGGAAAATAAAAAGCACTTTTCATCGTTCGTTAATTCACATATATATCATCTATTTGAAATTCTGCGATAGTTGTAAAAAAAAAAAAAAAGAAAAGAAACCTAGGACATTGTATCGTAAACATTTGATCGGAATCAATTTGAATAATTTCATGGTTGATTTATGGATGAGTTAGGATACGAGACACGTTGATCGAGATAAACGAGTACACGTGCACTCGGTCACCGTTCGATTTTCTGTTAAACGATAATTTCTAGTTTAATTTAGAACCCTTCTAACTAAATAACAATCGTCCACGACCGTTAGAAATATCGGAAGATCGGTTATTAAAGCGAATATCGATGGATTTACTGATTATTATCACTGAAGATTCTCCTCCAATCGTCCACGTAAAAACTTTTCTCCACGGAGTCCAGAGAGAAAGTGAGAGAAAGCCCACAAACAAACAATAAAGAAAAAAAGCAGCGACTATAATTTCGCTATCGGAAAGACGTGACCCGGTGTTATCCGCCGGGACGCAGTAACACTCATACATAAACGAACGGCGGTGGGTGAACACGTAACGCGAAATAAAAATTGTTTCTTCGCGCGTCTCGCACGGAAACAATGATTATTAACCCTCGACTAGTGACATGGGATCCTTAGATTGCCCACGAGACTCGAACAGATACTTTTTTCCGTTCTTTTTCTTAAAGAGATGTTCTATATTCCTCTTCTTTTCACACCAAAATACAAAACGTACCCAACTATATTCTGACACTCCTCAGACGTATAATTTTTAATTTGTATCATAAATGACTCGAATATATTTTTTATCGAGGATGTTCGATTTGGTAAAAAAAAAACTGCGGTCCATCAGACACACCGTCTCTCACCTATTGATATCTTCGACTCGTTGATTAAGGGTTAAAAATTAAATCGAAACTCACCGAACCGTTGGTCGTTAAACGACACCGTCGATACACGCTGCTCGCGACGAACTACGGCCCGAGGAAGCTTTTTGCAAGAAGTTTTTCTGGTGTTTAGATAGACAAGGGCGAACGTTAGAACGAACAGAACGATCGGCGATTTGAACAGTCTCGTTCGAAACTCTCAATTGGGCTACAGGATTTCTAAATCGTGTATAATCGCCTTTAAGCGAAATTAAAGCTGAAATGATTCGTAAATGGTGTTCCTTAATACGCTCGCCGGTATATTGAATTTAGTTCGTTTGCTTCGGTTTGTACGTTAGGCCTGCCGAGCAAGTTACTCGGATGTACACTGAAAAGGAACACAACAACAATCCTGGCAAGGTTTAATCAAAGGCAGAAGTTCGTTGACTGACTCTGGGTTTTTAGACTCGTACAGGATATCTTCCATCACTTTTCTATAACTGTAATCGAAGACACAAAGAATATCATTTATAGATTCAGTTACTAACAACCTGCGATACACTCCGATAATGAGAACCACAATAATAGAGAATTTTGTAAGAGGACAAATTAATGTCTGTTCAGTTTTCATAGATTGATCCTCAGGATACAAACCTACATTGACATGGGCGTAGCCAGGTTGTCAGTCAGGGGGGCAAAAATATTAAGACATCGACTGCCACAGTGAAAAAGGCTCTACGTAGCCAGACACGTTTTATTTTATCTTTAAAGTAATAAATCGTTGCATTTTGTTAATAAAGGTTGTTGGTCGTGTTTCAAATTATAAAATATAACTCTGGGAAGGGTGGGTGGGGGTAAGCAAAATCCAATTTTTTCCTTGTAGGGTGGGGCAAGTGCCCCCCTCCCCTCTGGCTCCGCCCATATACATTAACATTCACGATCTAATTATTAAGAATTAAGTGAATGCATTTTTAGTTTGATACTCCCAAAACAATCTATCGAAACAACCGCAGCAACGAACGTAATAAGAAATACCGCAGATCCTCGACCAAAAGGTTCCAAGAAGACGAACTATCATTTCAACGAAATTATATCAACTCCAAATACCAATTCGCTCATAGTAAATACTGCCCTAGAAGAGGCCTAACACGATCAACACCCCATCAAATGAGACTCTGGAAACCGTACGACCGTCTCGACACGATCGACGAACTGGTATATACATAACTGACCGCGTGTCTACCTCGAAGACTGCAAGATCGGGATTCGTAAAAATCACATTGCATAATCCAGCCGGAGAAGATGGCTACGTTCAGTGACACCGCGAGCAAATTGAAAAAAAAAGAAAGAAGGAAAAGTGTCCCATTTTTCATCGAGTCTTACCTTGGTCGTTGATCAAGAGGACGATCGCAGAGCCAATTTCCGGCGACGTTCCACCCCCGAGGGGCTTTTCTTCCTCTTGCCGATCGCTTTCTCGACGTCCTCGGACGATGATCCACTGGAGGTTGGTCCTTAGATTTACAGAAATCGGTGAACTTGATGCTGGAGGCTTTGCGTGCTTCTCGCTGGAACGACTGACGAAGAAGTGTACAGAGGCAGACGGAACCTTTGGCCCCGACGCGGTATCTCCCGTGGTTCTCTAGCGTTCGCACGCACGTTCATGGCCAACAAAACCGAGCGACGCCGAGCCGGCTTGCATTCACTGAAACGGAACAAATGTACCCGTGGCGACGCGTACGATCCAACAATTTCCCCGTTCTGCTGGCGATGCGAGCGTAATTAGTGACGGAAGCGGTTGGATCGAACGCCGTGATCCGTTATGATCGCGGGATTGTATAGTACAGACTCCCCTCGATTATTATCCAGAACTCGGGTCCGCGTTGAGACAATAATCTTATAGGGAGAAATGCTTCAAATTCTCGTAAATTCGTTTAGGGGGAACTAAGTATGCGCTTGATAGGTTCCACGTCCCTTCCTCAGTGGTGGGAAAACGCCTGGACAATAATCGTGTAGGACCAGCCAGACGATAATCGAGAGGAATCTGTAGAGAAACACGTGGATTCTTATTTTCTGAATATTTATTTTAATGGTTTTTTAGACCTCCAGCTGTTATCTGGAGCGTTTCTCTTTCAGGATGCTGTATCAGTTTCTGGTAAAAAAAAAAAGGCCGAAGATCCTCAGAACCTAGGGTGTTAGATAATTGTATAAATAACAAATGCGAGATTTGAATCCTATTAAACGTTTATTACCTCATCGATAGAATTTGAATTTTCGAAGCACATCCGCGACGATGATCGCTGTACATAATAGAGCAATGAACGTTTCAACGCTACTTAGAATAGATTGGGTAAATCTTCCGGGATTTGCAAAAGTGGCACGTGAACAACCGTGTACGGTTTTCGTGCTGATGAAACGATAATAACGATGGAATCGATTTGTTTTCTTTTAACAAGATAGATCCGATTCGTGTGAACATATAACGGTCGTGGCGTAATTCCGCGTTCGTGTGAATTTGAACCGACGATTTTCTTTACTCCCGAGACCACACGATTCCAACAATCATACGATTACACGTAGTTCGCATACGTGCTGGTACCCTTTCGCTCGTTGTTTCTATCACTCATTCCAGTTACATAATTTTACAGATTTACTCATTTCACTTTTACGTCTATAAATCTTTTGATCATCGTGGTACGCCGTGATATACAATTTGCGTTCGCTCTACTAATCGAGGGGAGGGGTTCGTTGCGAAAAACAGCCCTTGTCAATGAATTCGAAGATGTAACGAACTGATCGTTGATTGATTTCTATAGAAAAGCTAATTGAAATCATTCGATAAATTACATAATATAAATTACACTCTGAACATATTGAGTCAAGAAGGAAAGAATATAAGTTAGCTTTCTTAAATGTTTATGAAAAAAAAGTAGTATCCCTCTTTCTGTGGAGAAATTTTTAACAAGGGTAGTTTTTGATATAAACTCTTTAATTCGTACACCATCTGTAATCGCAAGTTTACTGTTTAAGGCCATTCTTATTCTGAAAGACGGACTATGGAGATGCAAAGACGATCACCTGGCCCTCGGGGAACCAATAATATCGCAAATTAATTACTCATCGATTAGAATCCAATTTTCCTTCAAACTGTCCTTTGCATCTCCAAAATTCAGCACTGGGAACAGAAATCAATTATTATTATTTTCGTATTCCGATTTTCCAACGACAAAGATTGCAATTCAGTCACGAGTTTACAATTGTTCGTTGCGACTGTAAAATGTGTTCTTTCGTTAAATTAAGGATTAAAAAATAAAGGGATTTATAAAACTCGTAGAATTTAATGCGTTTCTGCTTCGAGCATACATTATCGTTTCCTCCGCTGGGGAAATTAATAATAATCATTCTAACAATCAGTTTACGTACAAGTTTTTTCTTTTCGTGTTGCACGAACGAGTTGAACAGCGCTTTATACTTATGCACGAATAAGTCTACATTTTGTCGGAGAACTACAACGAGGTACGAAAGGACAAAACGGCGAGATTGGTATCTTATTTATCCATAAAAACATAGTGCATTTACAAACAAGGAAAAAACACTCACACATTAATGAACATAGTTAACGTAAGATCACTGTATAACAAACCGGACACGAATAAGTATCCGTGTCCATTAATTTCTTTTTTTTTCTTCTTATTTTCGTACACTTTGAGACTTGTCGATGTTCAAAGCTCTACAGTTATCCGTAATACGATAAAGAACTATGACAATATGTAAATTGCTAATTCTGTTTTCTTCTTCTTACTTAATTACTTGCCGTAGATTACAAGTTATTCGAGTGCATTATTTCTCAACGTATCTCTTCTTTTCTCTCACATTCTCTCTCTCTCTCTTTCTCCCTTTATCTTAATTACGTGTGAACCTCCAAATTAACTCCGTAACAAAATGAAGGCGCAAAAATGCTCAAATAGCTATACAATGTAGCTCCATTAATTATGCAAAGGGTACTGATACTGGCTCACAAACGTAAGAAACTGAAACGCACATGGACAATTTGCTGTTAATCTTTTTATAATGATTGTACAAAAAGTGAAGTTAATATTCTTCTTCGTCGTCGGGCGCAAGTCCATCCCCTTCTAATTCTTCAGGTGGTGCGAATCCTTCCTGTACAAGAAAAACAATAATCAATAACGGAATATGCGACAGTATTTGTTTTATGTTATGGATAAAAGCTGACCATACTATACCTCTGTGGCGTAAAGGACTTCTAAGATTTTCTGTACTATTGGTGGGGGATCTCCATTATCACAATCTTGACACATAACTTCTATGTCGCGCAATTTACCGAAATAGAAATCCCTTTCTTTCTCGAGTCCTTCCAGCGATATTTTCAACTCCATTAGCTAAAAGAAAATTAATTAAAAGTCCTTTACACGAAAATATGGAATCACTACTAAAGATCAATGCTTGGATCATGAAGTACCTGAGCACTGAGTTCTTCAACTTTTCCAGTATCACCACGATTTCCAACTGGTCCGGTTTTCGGTGGTGGACGGTGAGTTGGTACTTTATTAACTAGATTGAAAATTTCAATACATTGTCATTTGTTTTCGCATGAGCGTATGAAGAATAATATCTACTATATTTACACAGATATTACATACAATTTACAAAGAGAATTTAACAACAAATCTACTTTGACAGAAACATAATACCGTGTAACTGTACAGGCAATGTGAATGCACTGACTGGATGCATAATAATTTACAGAAAATACAAGGTACAATGTAGAAAGTGGTGGAGCATGCATCACGATACTTGTAATATTTACATGTATAAATCTTAACGAAGAAAAGAAAAACGATTGAAACAGAATCGTCTGAAAAAGTTTGAAAGAATCTAGCTAAAATAAGTATATTTCATGCAGCAATTAGATACTTCAAAGTATATAAAGTGAAAAGAAAATATAAATGAAATCTAATCGTTTGTTACTTTAGTAAAATCTGCTACAGTTCTAAGAGATCCTTTCGGATCGTTATCCTCTCTTGATAGTCTCAGTAGTAAAACAGAAACAAGTAAGGAAAACGAGCATAAAAGTATAAAAAATAAATAATTACTATTGCTTATAGACTTGGTACTAGCTGCGTGTGCAGGAGGCGCAGTTCCCTCACCTGAAGTGAAATTTTTTCCTTGTGTTATTAGGACAGATGAGTCCACCGGCTTGTTATTAATTTTATGATTTAGAAGAAAGCCAAAGTTAAATTATCGATCGTTCATAAACGTTGTTTATTTTTAAGAAGTTTTTGCATTATGTTTAGCGGTGTATGATCAAGTACAACATAAAAGAAACAAAAACTAATGGAATAATGTACCGATACGAGCAGCTGATTTAGGCGAATTTACATCACGTGGAGTGGTGCGTTTTGCATTAGTGCCGTGCGGTGCATTACTTCCACCACTACCCATGGCCTCTCCTCCTCGTATAGCAAGTGCATCGTACGGCTCTGTTCTGGAGTAGTTTGCATCAAAGAATTTCTTGAACCATTGCAAAAACTCGAAGTTGTCTTGGAATCTGCCTTTCACCAGCCTATCAATTGGAACAATCTGGAAATGATTAGCAAAAAAGCTTGTGGAACAAAATAACAAAACAAATGATGAACTAATAAAACAACAAAAATAAACGAGAATCTACTATTGGGAAAGATTTGATTATTAAAATCAACAACGTATGATCAACGCTTTAAATAGCTTTAACACAATTATGAATGTGAACTGAATAAAATATAAAATTGTAGGTTCATTATATAAACAGAGGTCATATGATTAAAATGTCCTTGTGATAATAGGTGTCGTAAGAAGATTAAAGAAAATTCAATCTGCTGCATGTCCCTAAGACAATCTATTACCCCCTACTTAGATGTATTTATAGACTCTTAAAAATAACAAACAGTGATGATAGCATTGTACCTTTATAAGTAAATAAGTGTTTTAGAAATTTGATCCCTGTACTCAACATATACTGTACATACGCTCACATTATATTCACGGATTTGAAAGAAGTACTTCTTTCTGTGAGACTAAACATAATGCAAAAGTGAAAAAAGAAAACATTTATTTACACTTAAAATAGATGAACAATAAAATAACACAGTGCTATTAAATGCTTAAAGGTTGCGTAACTGTACATTTATGAGTAACAAAACTGCAGAAGCAGAAGGTGCTTTCTACTTTACAATCACTGGTCCCTAAAATGTCTAGATGTACATACAAAGTGCAGTATACAGCCAGAGATAATCATTTATGCAGCACATAAATAATTTATTGAATTTTATAAACATGATAATAGCATGCAGAAAGCAACACTATTAAATTAACACAATATTGCTGTACCCTGCTGTTGGCGAGGGGCAATGTTACGTTGTTGTATATGCTTTTGCTGTATATTTGACTGCTTTGTTTGTGGAGGCAAAGGTACCAACTGCGGATTTGACAAATTATGCGTTCCATCAACCCCAGAACCCAGTGGTACGCAACCACGGGCTTCATAAGCTTCGTATTCGCGGCCGTCATAATTTGCATCAAAGAACTTCTTGAACCATTGTAGAAACTCAAAATTATCTTGGAAACGGCCTTTTACTAACTTATCCACTGGTATTACCTGAACCATTTTTACAACAATAGGATTACAATTTACAACAGATTGTAATTCATACAATGAAACGGTTTTATGTGGAGCAATATGATTCCATGTATTAAGATGGTATCTGGTTTCGTTATTGAAGCTTACCTTGACACTAGTGTCTTGTTTCATTAAAAAGTGTATGAATCTATTATTATTGTTCAACTATATTAAGTTCTAAGTTTAAAGGGTCTTCCCATTCTATGGGGTGAAAGAAATTGAGTTTCTTTTCTATTGACATATTATGTTAAGTACTAAAATAGAAAGACTCCTTAAACAATACTGTTATCCATCCTACAATTAGTGGTTCCGTTTTACTATAATTTTGACTTTATTCTATATTCACCTAATGTGTTTCAGATATTTGGTACTAATGTTTTCTTACTTACCTTATCTACATTCATCTTTTTGAAACCACCTTGCAGAATTTTGAAATTCTGTATGTATTCGTGTTCGAGATTTGTCTTGAATTTGACCCTCTTCAAAGGTACACTACCTGGGAAGAGCATGTCCATGAACTGACAATAAACTGCACCAGTACATAACTCTTCGATCTTGGTAAATGATGCTTGCAGACAGTCGTTCACCCAGGCCAACATATCATGTCGACTTAGATTCTCAGTTGTAACATTTGTTGCATAAACATTAACAGCCATGTTAGTATCTTTCTTCAAATCAGTGGCTGAAACACAAAAACAAAGGAATTAACTTTTCACACTAGTAATATCTGTGTTGAGGCATAAATACTTGCATGAATGATCCTTGACATATATCTTAACAATAAATATGATAAATCAAGTGATCATTCAAGGTCATTAAGGAGAAACTGAACTATAGGATCTAGAAAATAGCTGTACCTATAAAGAGGTACAATGTCACTCCTTTCCTACAATCTAATGCTACACAAGATCAAAGGACACATGCACATTACACATGTGGTCATAAAAGTAGCCTTAAGTGACCAATTGATGAACTACAATTACAGTATTATAGGGAGGTATAACTAATTATTCCTGAGGACATATAATAACTATACTATAGTTTGATATTGAGTGCACCTTAACAGAAGACCACAAAGAATGAGCAACTCTTGTACTGTGTCTTATCAATACACTGACATATATGAGATATAATTCATTACATACAAGATTGCAGCGTTCGAAAGTCCGTCCCGTGCACAGTAACCAAATGTAACGCAAAATATTTTCACTACTAACTCGCAGCCAAGTACCGGCGACGAGCTCATAGCGGGATGGTCATTCGCGGCGGTTTTTTCTTCGTTTTGTCGAAGACGAAAGTGAGAGAAATTTTGTTGAAGTAAGTAAGAGAGAACACGGCTGATAAATAGAAATGGTGGGGACGATAACGAGCTATTAACGAAGAGGATGGTAGTTACATCGAAAAAATAGAGTAAATTTATTAAACAGCTCTCGAACTATCTCTCGGTGTTCCATAATGGATGATACCATGTTAGACTTAAAAGGAATAACATTCCATTCACTATTTTTGGACTGAAACAGTCCATCGACATGTTCGGGGTTCCTTCTACGTAATACCAATGTTTCAAAACGCGCAGATTTCTACCAGGTGCAAAGAAGCCGCTGGATCGTGTCTAAAAAAATGTGACACGAGACCCTTGAACACTTTATAAATCTTAAAATAACCGTATAATGACTTACCGAGTAATACGGAAACACTGTAACACCAATCGGGAGTGGTTCCCGCACGCAGATGACAAATGTGTACTAGATCGTTCAAATGCGCATACAACGGAAACTTCTAACGGTTCCTTTAGAGACGATACGCATGTACCGCGCTAGATTATAGCGAAATATTCGTGTACTTTTATATAGATTTCTCTCTGACGCCTCGGACTCTAAGCATTTATTTTTACCGTAGACTCGATCGAGGGCTTATTCCTATTTGATCGACCGCGTAGCAACAAAAACTTTCACGATTCTGTCAAAGAAATTAACAAACGAACACAATCGTCCTCTCGAGATTTCAGCCGGCGGTAGAGGAGTTCGTTGCACCGAGATACGTTCAAAACTGAAGAATTCGCGATTTCCGTTAATGGAGGAGATAAAATCTTTAATCCCGTCTCACAAGGTGTGTCTCATTTTGCCGCCGAGTACTACGGTCTCGCCAATCACAACGACCATCTTGGACAAAATCGCCGAAGTGGTAACTGTCGCGAAATTCGTGTCGCTATTTTTTCTTATCCTCCGCTTAGTATTTTTTAACTTCATATTTTAAAAGTGATTAGAAATAATGACGAATCGATATCACGAATGTATCCTCCTTATTTCATCTATTAGATATTTTAATATAATGCAGACTGAACCTTAAGGATCTTCCTTTACTTCGGCATTTAAAGGAACATCATTTATGGAAGATTAATTTATGAAACAATTTTCAGAAAAATAGCTTGAAATAACAAAATATGATAAATCAATACCACAATTGTACTGTTAATGTAATAAAGATTATCATATAATTCAGTTAGAATGAAAGTATTATTTGTATTGTAGGATCTAAGAAAAAGGCTCATTTTTTCTACATTAATTTTAAAGAAGCTATTAGCTTTTTATTTATATTCAATAACGTCTTATAATTCTCTTAGCTAAACATTCAATGCATTCACATATGTATTAAAACCAGATGTAAGAAGATGGTACAAATATTTGATATTTTTTATTCCTCTGGACTAGAAGAATCACTTGTGCCTAACTTTTCCATTTAACCGATGGCAAACGAAGTGCACTTTCAGCATAAAAGTATTCCTCCGATTGTGGCAGCAATTGGGTCTTGTATTCCATTAATGCAGCACGATCTGCTTGCTGTACAAGAATCTGTAGAATGCATTTTCCAGAATCAATACACAAATTCCATTAATTATAGATGAGTACTTCTGTACTCACATCAATTGCTACTCTGAAGCAATGCATGTTTTTGGCTAGTTCTAGTCTCCTTTCTATGTTGTCAACATATTTTAAATACTCTTCAAGAACATCTGAAGGTGCATGGTTTTTATGCAATATTTTTAGTACATCTTCAATGGGTAGATATGTCTGTAGTTTTTTACTTCCCAGCCAACCCTAATGATTAAGATTTCAACACATATTTCTGTTGTTAAAAGCACATTGGTAAAAGACATGCACAATGATATGTTACCTTTGTTAGAAGTAATCTATGGACATCATCCCAAGCACCAGCTGATGCTCTAACTTCTAATGCAACCCTTTGATACTGTCTGGGAGATATATCATGTTGCAGAGATAATATTTGGGGAGACATTAAAGTACCCTCTGGTAAGTTCCAGTGTCTTTTGCAGGCATGCCTGAGACACTCAAGGACAGATGAATTTAATTCAATTTCTTCATTACCATCTATCTTTTTCACTGCTATTTGCCACTCTATATTGATGTATTAATACATTTTTATTTAATATAGAATTAAAATATTTGAATGTGCAAGCAGAAATGTGTTTACCCAACAATTGAATGTAAGACTGGACAAATGAAGCTTCTCTGCAGTCAACCAAAGTTGAAAATTGTGTCTTATAGCTATTTCGAAGTTTGTTTAACAGTCTGTCAGGATCATGAGTATTTTTTATAATAATATGTAATGTTTTCATCTAAAATTAAGTATAACAAATGTTATGTCTGTCAAGTAGTCTGTTTTGTGGAAACTTACAGCAGCATCCTCTGCTTGTCCTAGCATGCTGCAAGAGATATAAATTGATAAATAGATGGAAAACATATATTATCTAGAAAAATGTGTAGTATACGTACGTTAAAATGTCTGTAATCTCACTTATTTGTAATCTTGTGGAAAGGTATCGAATATATACATTTACAGCATCTAGCCTTGATGTTAATATTCTTTGGACCAAGGATCTTTTAAGAGTTTTTGTAAGAAACAAAATAATCTAAAACATTGTGTTTCAATATATAAAATACATACATTTAACAAAGCAATGTTAGAATCATGCAAGAACAAAAAGAGTTACTATCAAAATTGCATTTCCATCTCCACTAATTATAGCTGCATCCAATAATGCAGTTTTACTGGCAAGTGACTTGTAGTGTTCTAATGAATACGGTTGGCCAAGTAGAATCTTTCTAAGTGTAATGTCTGGTTGTTGGATGGATGTTTCTGATTGAAGTTTTTGTAATTTGTCTGTTGCCAAAACTATGGAACATGAAATATTTTATATAGTTCATATGCTACAGCTAATATTGTTCTACAATATTTTACTAACATACTGCTAAAAAGTGTTTTCTCCGATATAACAGACAAAATGGGTTTCAATGGCTGAGAATCATCTGTAGTCTTTAATGACCCTTCTGATGTTGAGGTACTAGATATACCAGCCCGTAACTTGTCTGTAACAGTCTTTGAGATTCCAAACAATTCGTCCACCTATTTTAATTAAGTTGTTGTTATTAAAAACATGTAGAATAAATAGTAATGTAGCCTATTTTGAATGTCAACCTCATTGTTTTCAAAACAGAAGGATCGTTTCTCACTGCTATACCAAAAATCTTCATCATCTTTAGCTGAGCTCATGTTTGTAATAATTTTTAACTAAATATGTTTGTTAAGAAGAATGAAGTTATGTATGTTATATTAATTATTCACTATAAACACCCAAATACCATAGCACAAAGTATAAGGATAGACCTGGTGGATAAGCCTAACATCCACTGTATTTTCATGGCCAGAAACTCTGGGGCGCTAGTGCTCTATTACCATTTTTATATCACACCCGATGTTACCGATTAGAGATGGTGTAAACTGCTACCACAGACAAGATATAAGAATAGACCTAACATGCAATGTAATTTTCTGTCCCATGCTTCGAGGGCGTCAAAAGCCCCCTCACCATTTTAGTGTCAATACCCGACGTTACCGATAAAGCATGAATTCTAAGTATTATTAGCACAAATGAAGTGATATACCATTCATATTGCGTGTATCTAATGATTTCACGGGAATAAAAATATCCGATGCTTCAGTTTAAGATTCAGGGATAAATATGACAGTCATGAAACATGAAACGGAAAAGTATATATTCTTTCACTTAACTACAAGACAATTTATTCTAAATGCATCGTTAATGGACATTTTATTAATGTTACTTTTTACATGTTCCTGTTTTATTCGTTTTTACATCTTGCCTTACATTTGTATATTTGTAACAGATAAGTTCAGAATAGATGTAGTTTCATAAATAGTTTATCAAATCTATCTTTTCGCCGGCGGCTTACAATTTCTCTTGCGGGAATGTCCTACCGTAATGAGCCATCTCGTGGCCGCGGGATTCCAGGAATCGGATGACGTCACGGCGTGCGAGCAAGAGCGATAGAGCGAGCCGCGGTATCGGTGCTCTCCGTCGGTGTTGACACGTGCCGAAAAATTTCGGTGGTCTATGGGAGGGAGGTGTGCGAGCGAGAGAGTACGGTAGAGCGTGCCGAGTATCGGTGCTCTCCGTCGATCCAACGCGCTAGTGAGTTGCGTCACCCAGTTTATTGACTTAGCCGTGTACGCCGTGTACCAAGGTCGTACCATCCCGTGCAG